CACTACATGATCTGAATGGGCAATCAGATGAGTCCATACAGTCACCCAGGCAGCGGCCTGCCCCTGTCCTGCAGTCGCCATGCCTTTGGACTGGCCTGAGGTTCCTGTGCTCCAGGATCTACCAGGCGCCCTGCCTGCAGGCTCTTCAATAAAAATCACCACCCTCTTGTACCTTGATCAACTGGCTGCTACAGAGCCCCTCTCCTGCAGGCCATGCAGGCCTCCCTGGGGATCCTCCCACTAGGTGTCCTGAGAGGCCTAACAGACAAAGCCCATGTTGTGAACTAGCAACTCACTCATATTCCTACCCACAGAACTTTAGGATCCCTTCTTCCCTGAACAAAGCTATTCTCCTGCTTTGGCCACTGTGAGTGGCAAAGCCCATGACACCAGCTTACCTCCCTTTTCCTGTACCAAGGAAACAGAGGTGAGAACCCTAGTGAAACCCAAAGAAAGCATGATCAACAAGAAGGCCAAGGAGGAAGAGGAAGAGAAAAAGCAGGAGTACTAGTAGGAAAAGGAGGAGGAGAACCAAGAAGAGACAGACATCCAGCAGGATGATGGGGAAAGGGTACCACTAGCAATGGGGAAGTAGCACCAGCCAAGCCCCTGGACATCTAGAGAGACCTCACTGTGGTTTAGCCAAGTTCTGAGCCTCAGGAGGAAATATCTCCCATGAGAGGGCCCAGGGGTCTCCTGGGAACATGTGCCCTGGCCACCCTGTGGTCCCAAACTGGAACAGCCCCACTGTAGGTGTGCTGACTCTGGGGCAGCCTGCAAACCAGCTCCAGGCAGCGCCATGCTGCCAGAGAAGGGGACCATGGAAAAGCTGAATGGATACCATCTGCCCAGCTCTCCAGGTTCCCAAGGGTCAGGATCTGTCCTCCATTCATAGTCACTAGATGGAGGTCCCACAAGAGAGCGAGGCCCATGCCAATGACCATGCTTCTGCCAATTCAGAGGAATTGGCTGCCCTCACCTCCTAAATGTCTCTGGTTTCTCTGGAGGAAGACTTTGGAACCCTGCAGAAGAAGGTTGTGGATTTGAAGAAGAGCCAGAGCTTGGATGATGACAGAGGACTCAGAGGATACAGCTGAGGCCATGGCAGCCTGAACTGCCACTCAGCCTGTCCCTTCTTTCTAACCACCTGTGGTTCCAGCAGGAACTGCAGACACACTGACCCCACCCATGGACACTTGCAAGATGCCAGCTATTCCTGGTGGCAGCTATTCCACTACCGCTGGGCTCCTGACCCTGTCTGTCTCTCTCCCTAACCCCACACTCAATAGTGATGACGGGGGAAGCCGTATTTGTCTTTCTTTGCCTCTTTCTGTTGGCCCTCGTTCTCACATTAGGTCCAGTCCCAGTCTGAGGATTCTGGCAGTGAAAGTCAACACCCTACTCACTTGGCAAGAGCTGCAGCACCTCCCATTTCACACCTCCCCATATCTCCTATCCCAGAGCCCTTCTCCCTCAAGCCTGTGCCCTGCAGAATGGAAACCCAACCCCCATGTGCATACATTTTCTTCCTCCTCCTTCCTTCCTCCTCCTCTCTCCTTCCACAGCCCATCTTTAGTTCCTTCCACCAGCAACTTCATTCACATTTGCCAGCCTCTAACTCTGACAAGGGTCTCTCCCACCACCAGAGCCAATGCATCTGGGCTTCAAATCTGGCAGTCAGCTGTTCAGCTCAAGGTCACTAACATGGACACTATTCTGCCTTCAAAGGTGGTGATCTTCAGATCTGCCCTCAACTCCAAAGGGAGCTGCTACCCATTCCCCCAGGTGCACTGGCCTAGGAAGCACTGAGAGCCAGCAAAGGGACCAGTCTCACCAGCCCACTTACACCTAGGATCTCCTGTACCAAACATTTCAATTTTCACATCCCTCTGTTCCAGACATCACTCCTCAGCCTGCCTATTGCAGCCCTTATGGGCAACATGGAAGTGCCTCTCTCTGTAACACACTGCCCCTTCTCCTGTTCCCCGTCACTGATCATGCACTGACCTCCTTGCTAGCAGGCAGAGTCTCTGCACCACTATCTTCTAAGCCTGCCATGGCTGTCATCTTCCAGTCTCCTCCTGACTCCCACACCATTTCAGCCCATATTCTGAGTACTTCCTGGTGCTGAGAAGTCCCCACCCAGCATTGGCTTGACACCCCTCTCCACCAGTTGGCATGCACTGTGGGTGCTGGGACTGAACACAGCTCTCCACCATCCAAACAGTACTTTATGTAAACTTCATTTCACAGCTAGGACTCCTCATGAGCAGCAACAGCACAACTTTTCCTCTTTGGGCAGTCCAGGAATCCTAGCAGGATTAGCTATAGGCTTAAATTCTGCCTCAGCTCAACTGCTGAGTTGGACAGCACAAAGCAGCCAAGACTTAGGGGTATTACATCACCCAGGATTCCATTTGGCATGCTGTGCAAGCCCAGTCTTGACCACACTGGATCTGAGACACCCCACAGTGGAATATAGAAGAGAGCTTCATGGATACTCACCTAGACACCTGACTTGATGGTTAGCCTGGCTGACTGAGACCTGGGCCATTTCCCCTGGGCTTGGATCTGGCTCAGTTCCTTTTCCCCTGTATCAAAATTGCCTCAATGGCCTTCCTCTTTCTCTGATGATGAACATAAAATTCTATTGTTTCTGATTCATCTGTTTTTCTTGCTCTTTGCCGAGACATGGAGAAAGAAGAGGCATGTATGAGAGGTGAATTGTGGTGCCAGACCCTCTGCAAAGTAGCTGCACCAGATGGAAGGTCAACTATCTCACAGCAGACTCTTTTTTAGATGTTTGTCAGAACACACTACTGAGACTGACTTTTGAAAAATGGTTGTTTCAAAATAGAAGGGACAAACCATGAGCTTCATATACTTCAAGAGTAGAGTTTTATAGGTTGTTTTATGTGTGGATTCCCATGAAACCCTCCATCCAGTTAAGAAGGTGGACCCTCTCTTACTTGCAAAAGGTACCACATGCCCTGTCTTCTACCTTTCTCCATGCTTCCTTTCCACCTCCCCAGGCAGGCGCATCTGCTGTCCAAAACTAGAGGTGTGTCCCTATTCTTTAGAAATGTATGTCAATGTGGCCTCTTTGGCTCCTTTCACCAAACAAAATGATTTGGAGAGGAAGACACAAATGTGTGTGTGTGTGTCACAATCCGGGTCCCTTCTTTGGCTGAGTAAGGTTCCATGGTTTGGGACTAGCATGATGAGTTTGTTAACCCAACTCTTGGTGGATGTCTGTATTAAAGTCTTTAGTTCTTAAGGATAAAGCTGGTGTGAATGTTTTTGTGAAAGACTTGAATGAACACAAAGGAAGAGAAAGATTGTGTCATATGCTTAGTAGAGTTGTCCCTTTTCGATGGGCTCACTTCCAGCCTGCTGAAGGGATGGTACCCCTAACCACTCACAGCAGTTCTAGTCCCTACACTTTCTGACAAAAGAGATAGTTGAAAAATAGTCCTCTACCTCATGTTCAACAGGCTTCTCTCAGTATTGAAGAGGGACTGTGGGAGGACAAGAATATGATTGGGAAGTCCAGTAATTGGTTCAAAGACATGGTTTAACTAAATATGTGACACCTGCTGCCTGCAGATACACAGCATAAATTGGCAAAAGAAGGGAGAAGACTAAAGAACTGGAAACATTGCAAATGTCTTCCTAGTACCTAGAGTAAAACATCAGGGTGGTGGTAGTAGGCCCTCAATGACCCTGGAAGGAGGAATCCATGAGTCAATTTGACAGATGAGAATGTGGTGAAGTGACAGGTGTCAGGAAATGTGTATGAATGGCTTCATCCAGACCTTCCCAAGTAATGCTCTTTCCATTGAGCTACTGAAAAAATACAATCTCATTTTCCATATGATCCGCCAAAAGGCACTTTCTCCTATAAACTATCTCAAGAATAACTCTCAGTGAACTCTGACATGGCAAGAAATGAATAAACAATGCAGAGATTTTTAATTTATTTATTTATGGTAATGTTTAATACTTTAAAAGCCTGTTGTGTGATCTTCTTTCATCTTCAAATCCATTCCACTGGTAAAGACGATTTTTTTTTTCATTGCATGTTACCCATCCTAAATCTTGAGTGGTTGCTCAAGAAAAACTGAATGGTGACATCTGTGAATGCTGAGGTTGTTTTTCTCCTATGAAAACACCCAATTTTTCAATCAATAGGAACTTTTTGATTTCAAGATAATAGACACAGATTATATGTTCTTCCAGAAACCGTATTTCTTTTTCCTTTTTATCATTTTTTTGTTTATTCTTTACAGTTATACTTGACAGTAGAATATATTTTGACATATTATACATACTTGGAATGTTTCCATTCTTGTGATTGTACATGATGTGGAGTTACACTGGTCGTGTATTCTTATGTGAACATAGGAAAATTATGTCTGATTCATTCTACTCTCTTTCCTATTCCCAGCCTCTCTCTCTTCCCTTCATTCCCTTTTGTCTAATGCAATGAACTTGTATTCTTTCCTCCCCTCACCAGTGTGTTAGCATCCACATGTCAGAGAGAATATTCGGCCTTAGGTTTGGGGGGATTGGCTTCCTGAAATGA